TTGGTACATTCACACTACTTATTATTAAAATAAACTTAATGCGAGTGTTTATTACCCCTTAATGTGTTAAATAGTGACAAATTGGACACTAAAGTGTATGCCAGTTTCTTTGTCTGTTTTGATGTTACTAAGAGCTCTTTTTTCTTTACACTACTAGTGCACATTGTATCACAATTAAGGTTAAATTACACCAATAGTGGCAAAATAGACTGAAAAAACTGGTAATAACCGAAATGCGTTTTAAAATGTTCGGTTGGTACCTATCTACCTTCGCAGTGCATATCCGGAGATACCGCGTTGTGGAAGTGTGGCATTTTTATTCAGTTAGATTTTAATTACTCAATAAATACCAATATGTTAAAAGGATGTCCATACCCGACCTATATTATATATCAATAATTTACGGCAGTAGGTCGGGTACTTGTAACATTAATAATATAAATACATACACACTTGATTTACTTTTTATTTTCAAGCGTAATGGTTGTTATATTAAACTTTACTTACATTTTTATTAATATTATGGAAAATTTGTACACGTGTGGTAAATCCCCGACATACAGCAGCCTGACGCCTCTCTACCAATGGGATCACCCATTTTTTATAACAGAAAAATGGATTACTGATGAATTCTCAAGATACTTCATTGCTTACAAGTTGACAGCCAGTAAAACATTGATCTAAAACTTTTAAGTTTTAAGAAACTATTTTGCTTAAGCCAGCCATACGACTCAAATATAAAATTATATTTTAAAAGGCACCGATTTTGATAATTGTCATACATTTTTGTTTCAAATAAATGTTTCTCTTTATTTACCTTTTCGTTTTATTCACTACCATCAATAGGTTTTACTCAAATAATAGTGTTAATTTACACAAGAAGTTTGCACTAAAAGAGTAAAAGTACCTTTCTAAAATTAGAACTTTTCCAAAGTAGTGTTAATTTACACTGAACAAAAGTGAGATTTTACCCAGGAAGTGTAGAAGTACACGATTTTAGGTAAATTAACACTTTTTAACACAGTGTAAAATTACTTTATCCTCAGTACTATAGTGTTAAATCATACTTGCTTACTTGGGGAAAATTACACTACAAATTAACTCTAATTGTAGTGTTTTAAAACAACACTATTTAGAGTGGAACTGTATAAACTCTAATTAGTGTTGCTTAGATTTGATTTTTTTTACTGTGTAGAAACATAAATAATGTTCTTGTATTTTGAGTTTTATTATAGTTAATTGCATAATTTTGTATAAATTAATTATAATAATTGAATATGATAAACATTGCAACTAAATTTAACACTCTCTGTACTCAGAATACGCCTATTAAACGTATTTTAACTAACAATAATGTTTGTATTGTCTATATAATCAAACTCACACAATATAACAACGTTCATTAGGCAGCAATGTAATCAAATAAATGGGGGCTTTATAATATTTTTTTTCGTTAAAGGTAAATAACCATTTAAAAGCCGAAAAGTTTATTTCTTGAGCGACTTTTGTACACTTATAGAAAGTAATATTGTTTTGTTTAAAATGAAACAATAAAATCGTATAAGCTGAGGGATATTTTCGTTTAACTTTCGCGCAAACCGACTACGAAAATATCCTTGAATTTTCAGAATTAACACTTAAAAAGCGAATTGATGTCTTTAGTTTAAAACGTCGTTCTTCGAATCAGTTAGTTAAATTAACATTTTTCTACGAGATAAAGTTTTGTTCTATAAAATACCTTTGCTTAAAATTAATCCTACAAAAAATATGTCATCTGTTAGAATGTTTAAGAAAAACATAGGTTTACAGTAGCAATACAAATGGCTATATTAATTTAAAGTAAAAACAAACAAAGTATCGGTACAAATCCTATAAATCGAAATAAAAAGGGAAAACAAACACACAGGAAGATTGATTCTAAAATGCAAATAAAATGTGGGAAGCTTTGTTCGACGAAAAATAGGGAACGTCTAGTATGCATACAAAGATCTTTCTTCTCGCGAAATTTATGTCTCTCATGGGCAAGGGTTAACAAGTTCGGGGATTTACCATTGATTTCCTTTTTAAAGGAAAAAATACCTTTGATGGTTTCATGCAAATATATCTCGTTTTTGTTGCCATGGTCCAAAATCATCAGGTTACCTAATAAAATAATAATAATAACCTTGTAAAACAACAAAATTTAAGTATTAAATTTAGGTATCTTGACAAATGACCAATTAAAAGGGCCCTTCCATGTTAAAATTATGTTTGTATTCTTAAGACTTTATATTAGTTCTTAATTATCACCCTAATAACTTTAAAAGCATCGCAAATCCAAACATAAATTGGTATACTGGTAAGTTTTAAAAATAATGTATAGTACCCATACATTTTTCAATATTCTTATTTATTTATTATGTTTTATTTTATATAGAATTTCTTTTATAAAATAGAATTATTGTTCATTGTTTTTAAAAACAGACTTTAATGAAAACGTACGGGTAAAATGCTTTCACATTGAATACTTTTTCATTTTAAAATTTGAAATAAAGTATCCAAATAAATATAAAATGTAATATTACTAAAAGCAGGAATTTTCCTATTTTAAATAAAAAGGGCTTTTACCAAATAAAAAGATAATATGAAATTATTACGCTATATTCCAGTTTGTACCAATATATTTACATTGTATTTTTTGTTGAAGGTTTTTTATTCTTCAAGTAACTTATTTTAAATTATAAATTAATTAACTCTGACCACAACCAAGTTAAATTTACTCTAAAATTAACTAAGCTGACTGAACAAAAAACCTTTTACACCCTTTTTTATTCGAACCACAAAGGTCCAAACCAAAACAAATCTGTCGGAACAAACAGTTGGCAAACTTGACTCAAAAGGTTTCCCATTAATTTAACCAAGATCTTCAAAATTGAAACTAAGCTCCCCGACTAAATTATTTGTCTTTCATATAATTTATGTTTGCTACTTTGCTGGAATACCACTGAAATAATGCCGCAATTATTAACACGTAAGCTTTTTATTGGTTTTAATTAGCCCTACTTTTGGTAATGGGTCAATCTATATTAAATTGAGAAACATAACCTTAATTATTCGACTGCATTCCTTATGGAATTTTTTAGTACACAATGTTTTAACAAATTTTTATGATTTTATAATATTAAAATTCACTTTTTAACAAATAGACTGAGTTTTATTAAAAATGTAATTAATGAAACTTTTAATAAAAAAATAAAACATCACATTGATCATTTTCAACTTGTTCATAGAATTTAAATTTTAATATATCAATGGAAGTAGTCATTTCCTTAGAATATTCTTTTAAATTTTAGTTTTATAATTTTTTGCCTAATTTAAAAGTTGTATCTTCAGCATTTTATCATTAACAGGAATTGTTTTCCATGTTGCTGATAGACTTTTTTCTATATTAACAGAATGATGCACCCTGCATTATCCATCACAATAAAACTGTTCTCTTCTAATTTTGGTAAAACATTCTTTATTCAAGTACACAATGTTACAATTACACTTTTTGATTTTCCTTTATCAATATATTTATTTACCATATTAAAAACTATTATTCTTTGACCTCGTCCTATATATTCCTTAGATTTACTTTTTAGGACAGATGGTTGGTTTTGTACATACACCGAAAAAAATAATGCAGTTGAGTTAACGTTTGCCTAAATGTCATTTTTGAAAATGTTGTTTCATCAAAAAACCTACTGGATTGATCTATATTTTGGTGTCAAAGCAATAGTCAGAGTTTGTCAAAGTTTATTTCTTCATTTGAAAGTTAAAATATTAATATAACATAAACTAATTTTTTGAATTAAAATGTTTATCCTATTTTGATTTAATAGCTGGAATTGGTTGAATCAAATACTATTAAATTAACGTTTGGTTGCTCTTTAAATCCAAAACATTAAATTTGTTCATTTAACAAATTGTAAATGTTACCTTAAAATTTGTTAATTTTGCATTCATAAAATTGCCGTGAAGGGCGCTTCGAACACCCACGCCACGTCATTAGACGGTGTTGATCACGTGATGTTCTTACATCTCACCTCAGTTGGCTTATGATAGGAGTATATAAGCTCAGGTAGCCGTTTGTTTTGGGTGTGTTCCACAGTGGAACTTCCACTACACCAAATTGCCCGTCACTGATAAGACCCCCAATATAGGTCGAATCAGCTGTCTGTCGGTAGGTATTTGAAGTAGGTGGAACGCACTCAAAACAAAAACTCTGGCGAGGGAAGGTTCAATTCTTTCTCTTTATATTAATTTCATAATTTAATTAACCCAACATTAGCGCAAATTATTTTAATTTTACATTTTATTGGTGTTTAGTAAATATGCTAAAAAGGTTACCTGGACATTTCAAGAAATTTACCTTTACATCTTAAAAATGTTAGCACAACCATTTTCGAAATATTACTCCGACATATCAAGAATGTTTAATTAGCCAGATTAGCAGATTAGAACAAATATTCTCATTTTGTTCACTTGACCAATATTTGTTGTTCAATTAAACAATACAATTTGACATTTTTAGATTTAAAACCATTGCTTGTATTTAAAGTGCATAAAGAGTTGAATTAATTTTTTTTTTGTTGTTTCAACAGCTTATTTTTTCAGTGCAGTCCACATTGTTTTATTGTCCTTTGGTTATGTTGAGGGATTTGAATGTAATCGACTTACCTGTTGTTCAGTAACAAAATTAAAATGTTTAAATATGTCAAAAAGTAGTTTTAACTTTTTTATTATTGTTCCGTCTATTTGTTATTACTTTTAACATTAACCTCCTAATCCACACATGTATATGGATTATGATTAACATAAACTTTTTATTCCTTAATAAGATTTTATTTAAATTAATTTCTTCCTCAAAAGTACTTTTTTGTATTACAACTTGTTAATAATCGATAACGTGTAGTAAAACTTAAAATTAGTAAACCTCGTTAATAAGTTTAACATGAAACTATTCCTCTTTTTTGCAGGGTCTGGAGCTCAAAGGCCAAATGGTGCACTGTACAGAATCGGAATCCATTTTATTTATCGGCTCGCCCTTTATCGACGGTCTTGAGGGACTCACCGGAAGCGGACTTTTTATATCCGACATACCCCTGCACGATGCTACCAGGGACGTTATACTGGTCGGCGAACAGGCCCGAGCACAGGTACACTTCGTTTTTAATGCAACGATCCTCTCGCTTTTAATTTAACGCTTCGTTAAGTCGTTAAACAACGAGTTTGGTCTATCCAATAATAGGTAGTAATTTCTGCAATGGAATTTCGATATACGTGCTGGGAGTTTGAAAATGCTTTAATAGTATCTCATGATAAAGGATATAAAATAAAATGTTTTTTTATGATACGCAGGGCAAATTCTAATTCTCGATTGATAAGTCTATAATTAAATAATTTTCACTAGTAATACCACTAGAGGTCAAATTATTTCCGGAATTTTTTTCGAGTTCATGTATATCGATGGTTATTTGACGAAACATTGTATACGATATAAGCGACAAAACCTAAATTTTACAGGAGAGATTTTTTATGTGTGGGAGCTTTATTTTTAAAGTTATTTATCTGAAAACTGGTGAGGCATTATTTTATTAATGTAGAATTTAAATATTTAAGTAAGATCGAATCCAATCTAAAATTTTCAATAAATTTTGTGGCATACGATATTTTATAAGAACATCTTTGGGAAAATGTAAAATTAGTCTTGTCGCTTAAGTTACATTTACGTTACTTTGTGGGATATTGATTTGATGATTACTTTTGTCAAAACATCGTTAGCGATATTTATTTTTTTACTTTTGTTATTAAATAAAAAAAATACAATCAAATTAATTTATAAAATATCCAAACAATGTTGAAAATAAAATTCTACATTAGCTTTCTTTGAAAAAAACGAACGATTTTTATTCACAAACCAGTATCTAACCCATGGAGCCTACACAAGGAGCTCGAACTTAATAGGGGAAATTGTACAAATTAAGTTTCTTTTTTTTACCACCAGCGGCGCTAATTGCGTTTCGGTACAAATTAAACAATTATTTCAGAATAAACGGAACACCAGCGCCCTCTTATCTTAGGAAGATTCTTGTTTACATGATGTTCGGACTCCTTGTGTAGGCTCCATGATCTAACCCATGGTACCATGATCTAACCGTTATAAATTTGAGTCAAATTATTTGACGCTACTACAAAAAACACTTTTAACGAACCACACTACGTAAGAACAATTATAATTAGGATAACTATTAATAATAAAGGAATTATAAGCTATATAAAAATATATTGTTTTAAAACTTGGTAGCAATCACCACAAAGCAGGTATACTCACAAATAAACTGTTTAGAGCGGGAATAACGCCTTGATAGATCAAGGCGGGAGCACAATATTATCGTAAGCGACACAATGTTAAATCGCAAACGCCATGTCTCGGAGTTGCTTACGATTATTTGTCGGAAACATATAGGCGCTTACGTTATAAATCGGTAACATATTAAAAAGAAGAGGCGCTTGCAATAATAAAAATATTCAAACTGACTAACTATTATGTTAACATGTGCAGCTTATCGTAACTGACACTTTGATAAAATAAAAAGTAATTCAACAAAATTGTCGCTTACGATGTTTTGTCAAATAACCATCGATATTTTGAAAATTATCCCGAGTCGAAGACTTTTTTAAAAATATTCATGAGCAAGAAAAAATTTCCGGATTTAATTTGACCTCTTGTGGTATTCGGTAAGAAAATTCCACACCAAATTGTGTTTAAATATATATATACTCGTTATAGTTGCACGAAAATACCATCTTAAGACACAACACAGTATATTCTTTAATTTTACATAAGTTTTGAGTAACTACAAGTAGTAGAAAATTGCTTTTTTGCGATTTTATTAACTTTCCATACGCGCTTTATTGGTATGGAATTCATAACCAGTGTGCAGCGTCAGCAAGCGTCAATCATTGGAGGCTGTGCTCATCGTATTTTGACAGTTCAAAACATCAGAAAAACTCGCGTTTTGTTGTAATAAAGAATATTGTGCAGCCAGTAAAACCAACAAAATTTTTTGTTTTAAAAATGAATCTGTTTGAAAATCATACTATATGCAAAATATGAAATTGTCTGATGTAATGATCAATCATCGTGCGATGACTTATTTACAAGCATTAATAGAGGATTGTGGCTCCTACTTGAAGAAAGAACATTTGTTTCGAATTGTTCACGAATATTTGCATCCAAACTATTCAAAATTCAGTGTGCTTAATGGAAAAAAGGTGAATAGAATAGTGTCTTAATATTATATATATTTCATTAGACATTCCATTCCAAGTCCTGCATTTTCGCCATTAAGAAGAAAGAATATAGAAAACAGCTTTATAATTGAAATGTATCAAAATTATGTTTATAAACAAATAAAAACCAGATTGTCAAAAAAATATTCTGTCATTATAAACGTCAAAAAATGTCCAGGATAATTCGCTGTTGGGTCCCCCGAGGAAAAAATGTCCACTAAAATTCATCCGTTGCCATGGTGCATCATGATCTGTCAAAAATACACGTTTTGATTGGTTAAAAATTACAGGTGTGATATTTTCACCCATATATGGGTATGGGTATGGGTATTATAATATAACAAGTGGTATGATTATCATCGATGAATTTTTCGAATTGAAACCGAGCTGCTTCGGTTTCAATGAGTAAATATCATCGATAATTAATCATACCACACAGAAAAAACACTAGCATAGCATGAATGGGTGAGCCATTAAACCAATGGGATCTTGTAATCCGTATTCCTGAATAACAGTTCCTATAATACCAATAGGTAGTTAGCACTTGGTTTATAATCGTTTACTGTTTTTAAATTAATAACAAAAGTTATCGCTCCTAAATCTATTGATATTCATATTGATATTTATTTGTTGGAATGTTAGAATGTTATTGCATTAAATACTTATTTGATTTATTTAATAACGTTACTATTGTATGTATACTATGTATACATTTAAATTAATAAAATCCTTGACATTTAGGCAAAATATTTCCCTATTTTGGTTTAATAGTAATTAATTGAGCAAATAACAATTTAGATTGCTTCAATTTTAATGCATTCAATGACAGCACTGTTCTTGGTACTATGTTAGATTTTTTTCTGTGCACGAGTTATATATAGTGAGAAAATATAATAAATTTAAGGATTTAACGGATTTTTAGTTTAACATTTAAAATGCTTTAAAATATAAAAAGACTAATAAACCTTATTTATTCAAACTTACCTTAGTTTATTTATCGTTTACACCAACCCATCGGTCTTTTAGAGTTTATAATTCATTATTTTAATCATTTAACAAACACAGTATTTAAATGTCAACAAATGTCAAATCAAGAAAAGTGTCAAAATCCTTAGCAACGTGTAAACAAGGTGATAAAAAATATTGTCGCTGTGATAAAATGCGTAACTATGGAATACTGGCATTTTATTGGTTCTAATTATAATGAATTGTATTGTCAAAAAAAATAAAATAAAATCTGACATCTGTCAGATGTTTAACCTCACCTTGCACCAATTTTAAAAATAATGCAATGGGAGTAAATAAAACCATGTTGCATATTTGCAATATTAAAACTCAATTATAATTGATGTGTGTTCGTTAAAAAATTACGATCAATTAATTTTTAAAAGTCTATAAAAACGGTTTTTATTAACATTTAATAATAGCTTAAAGAAATTTTATTATTTTAAAATACATCAAAATCAAAATAATAATAAATTGTGCAAGCAATAACAAAATATTTTCTTTGTGTAATTTTCCGTGATGGAGCAGCCCCTGGTGAATAATAAATAATCATTTAATTGGAAACAATGCAAAAACTTAAAAAAATGGCATACTAAATATTTTCAATCGTATACACGGAGAGAAAAGTATAATGCTGATTATTATAATTATAATACCCTTTACTATAATTTATATTACTATTTGGGACAACTATCTTGTATATTGCCAGATACTATGCATATTTAGTAATTTTTAAATATCCATGTATGTTAAACCTTAAGGTAAAATATTATTATTCTCAACCAATTTTGTTTTTAATTCTTATTATAATTAGTTTTTTTTCATTACTAAGGGCCGGTTTATCAATGTCCAGTTAAAGTTGCAGTTAGTTATCTGTTAGATAATTTCCATGGATACCATTGTTTTCACAACGATCGATATGAAATTTAACTGTCAGATAGACTAACTGGAACTTAACTAGAGATTGAAAAACCGGCCCTAAGTATAGTAAATTTTAAAATATTATGTTTCCATTTTAAATATAAAATATTTTAAACTCGAATATTTTTATATGTTAACAATTAAAAATTGTAACATATTTATTGTACTTTTTAATATACAAAAATGTTATGAGAAAGAATTGAACCTACACCTCGCCAAAGTTTTTTGTTTTGAGTGCGTTCCATCAACTTCAAATACCGACAGACAGGTGTTTTGACCTATATTGGGTATCATCAGTGTCGACACGAAACTGTCAAGCAACTTATAAAAGTGGAACACGCCCAAAACAAAGAAATACCTGAGCTTTTATAACATGGTTGGTAAGCCAACAGAGGCGAGATGTAAGAACATCACGTAATCCACACCGTCTAACGACGCGTCGCGACGTGGCCGTGCCGCAATCGGTACATACTATGCAACCAAGTAGGTTCAATTCTTTCTTATAAGTATAACCAGTAATGGGTCAAGAATGTTTATTGAAGAAACTAAGAAAATTGAATGGTTAAAATGTCATGAGTTACTATATTGTATATTATATTTAAATATATTGTTTATTTACCTTAAACATAAAAGTATCTTTATTTTTACTATATTGTGTAATATTTTATAATATTATATGTACACCTTACATTTGATTAAATCATATAGTAAATATAACTAACTATTTGTAGATAGTAAAATCAATTTACTATACGAACATATTAAAAATTAATATATATATATTATACATTTATGATTTAGTAATATTGGTGTTGTAATCTTTACTAAAATTGTATAATAAAAAATAGTATTTTGTATTACAATCTTAATATTGTATTGACGAATATATAATATTGTTACCCTAAAAATTTGTTCAAGTAAATTTTACTATATTTTT